ATGATCATTGCTCCCCACAGCTTCTTGCTGCCGCTTGCTGGAGCTGTGCTGCAGGATCTTCCTTTCTTCATTATTCGAGTTGCACTGATTATTGTGTTTGGTTTTGTAACACCTTTGTTATATCCTCTGAAAAATGTCCTGGTAAGCTTAACTTTTATCTATTTCACATGGATGACCAAGCTGAGGATATTTAAAAGACACCGCCTGTTCTGAGGAGGATGTTTGAACTGTTGGCTTTGAAGAGTAGCACCATGGACTCCTACTGAAACACCATTTGTGCAATTATTAACCTAATGAGATATATATATATATATATATATATATATATATATAGATATACAGTCATACACACTGGGTATGAGTGTTTTTATGTCAAGAACATGTAAAAAAAAAACATGTCTGCCTTTCCTTAAATCTATACATTTCCTTGAAAAAGTATTGATACCTCTTGAGCCTTTTTCACATTTGGTCACATTACAGTTAAATTAAATCAAACTCGACTGTATTGAATTCAGATTTTACCTGACAGGCCTAAATATGGTGCATAACTGCTAAGTAAAAGAACATAATGGGGTAGATATCCAATAACTTCACACATAGAGTTTTTGCCATTTGTTCTTTGGAAAATACTGTACATATTTATTTTATTTCTGAACTTGTTTTCTTGCTACATTTATTCTTTAAAATCTCTACATCTGTAAACACAGAAAGTAATAAAAAAAGTTTTAAAGTTACATATTTATTGATAGAGAAAAATACACAAGTGAAAATGTTTAGATTTATACAACTAAATAAGTGAGGTGCTTTTCAGAGAAATTATCTATTAGCAGGCTTAACTCAAGAATATTTTTGTTAAAAAACCCTAAAATTCAAAAAGGTCTGTAATGATATTGCTTGAGTTTTAGTTGAATGAAAACATGATTCCAAAATCTTTAAAGAACAAAACCTATCCAAAATAACATAAACAGAGGTAATAGAAAACCTTCAAAACATTAACTGAATAAATTATTGCAGTGGAATCAGGAGTGAAGTGAGTCGAGCGCATTTAGTTAACATGACCAAAACTTAAGACTAAAGGAGGATGAGGTGCAGTTAGTCTTGAGTTCTGGGAGAACATGAATCAAGGTTTTATGAAAACAATGTGAAACATGAAGCAAATCAATTCAAAAATATATTTTTAGTGTTGCCTGTGCTTTGAAGATATTTTAGATTTTAATTGTTTTTGCTTTTGTTTTCTGCTGAATGTTTGAATTTGTATCAGTGCAGACATCCATAGTGGCTGCACCGACACAATGCAGTAACTATACTGCACCCCTACCAGGACACATTAAACAGAATTACACATTCATATGGTCTTTGTCCCTGTGATAGATTAGTTTCAGCTGACAAAGAAAAACATACAATCATATAAGGTGGAGAAATAATGCATTTGTATGAAGCTCTGGGAGAAATTTGTTAAAGACCTTATTTACCATGTGAGTGATAAAACATCAGCCAAGCAGCTGTAGCTCACGCAGTAAAGAGCCAGATCTGGCTGGCTTTCATTTATGAGCAGAAAAACTGAAATTAACTTCCCCTAATTTCCCCACAGCCATGATCTTCCTGCTTCTCAATAATTTATGCCATATTCTGCAAATAATGGTTGCTATTGGAGTGCAGGTTGCTGGTGTGGTGGAGGACACTTTCTCATTAGTATGACAGACTGAATGCTTAAAATGATCAAAGGAAACAGCAGACTGGACACCATTTCTCTTGATAAGAGTCTTGAAGATCCCCTGATTGTCAATGATGAGTTCAAATTTGCCAATTTGTCAACATCAGATAAAGTTTTCATGTGACTTTGAAGTATATAACTCCTTTCACAGTAATAAAAAACATATATAACAACACAATTTCTTTTTTAAGCATAAATAAGCCTTGATGTTTATAATTGCTTATTGTATTTATTCCTGTTTCTCTGCTGAATAAACATGAGGATCATATCTTTAGCCACTCTTCAAAATGGGAAAAAAAAACATACGAAACAAAAACATACCATGTCCATTTAATTACTGAATTACTTATCTTAAACATAACCAATGATCCAGTTTTGCTTAATGCACAATTTTGAGTAACAAGTAAGAAGTCTGAAGCACCAAGAACTGTGATCAAAGCTGTAGAAAGTTTACCTTGACACCACACACAGTGAGGAGAATTTTAACAAAGAAGAACAATTTACAATTATATCTTTTTAATGAGGTTCAGGTATAAGTAATGTTCAGTGTGAAACAGCGAATGTGTAACAGGTACAGTCATAAAAAGTAGCTCTGCACTGGTGCAGTCATTTCAAAGAAAGCTGGAAAAATATTGTTATGTTATAACCAAAAACTCCATTGTATTTTATTGGGACTTTATATTACAGATCAACACAAAGTAGTGTATAACAATCAACTGGTTCACTACAGCCATAAATACTTCCAGATCATTTAATTTAATCTGAATTATGTTTAAGTTGTAAATAGTTGGTAATAAGTTGGGGAGGAAGCTGTTTTTAGCACAAAATTAAAAGAAAATTACTCAAAATTGAACAGCAGAGGCACTTAGAGTGGACAAGGTGAACAGAGATGAGGAAAATAAGATAGAGAAATGAGATAAAGAGAGGGCAGATCATGAGATAAGGAAGGAGGGGAAGACAGAAGAGAGATCGGGGGCTGCTGAGCAGGAGAGGAGGCTTTGTAAATCTGACAGACCGGAGGTGCATTTGAATTCAGGCTGTGTTTCTCCTGCGCTAGCCGAATGTTACCCGGCTCTAGCATGGCAACAGAGAGGGGCAGCACTTCAGCTGCAGCCTCTTCACACACACAGACACACACGTGCACAGACAGTCGCAACAGGATCGCAAAGAGTGACTCAGGTAAGCTGAAACGCCCCTGAAGAGACGGTACCCCTGTGGTGAAGGAAACAGCATGCGCAGCGAGAAGGAGAGATAGTGGTTGAGAAGGAGGAGGGGCTACAGGGCTGGAATCTTTAAGGAGGAAGAAAAGGAAGACTGAAGAGCACTGAACCTGAAACTGTCTGATTCTGGACTCCTACAGTGAGCTTAAGAGAGAGGGATGAGGACAAGATGGATGTGGAGAGTGATGCAGGATCTCTGACTAAACTAATGTGAGAAACTGAAGAGCGCTGAGAGACTCGCAGAGAAGAAAATGATATTTAGTTCCAGCAGCAGACTGTTCTCGGTGTTTGAACTGAAGTGCAGGCTGAAGGATTCTCAACAGGGGATGCTGAGACACTGATAGAGGTGAGGCGGGATGGAAGGGCAAATATGCAGACCGACAGATGAACCACCTGTTCTTTTAAAGATGAGGTGAGCATATTCACACCAAGAGATTTAGAAATCCCCCTGCTCTTCAGACTGACATATGCTGCATAGGTGGTGGATATCTAGATATATGCTGTGAGCCTCACCTGGACCAGGTCTCAAAAGAGGAAGCAGACACTTGACTCCCCAGGTGACCTCCCCTCTCTCTCCACCCCTTCGACAACTTGTGGACTTTGTAGATTGGAGTCTTCGTCTCTCACGGGATCCCTAAACTCCCTGATGAGCTCCTCTTCATGGACCATGAGAGTGAAATTTGTGAGCTGGTTTTAAGGTGACCAACCCCCCAACCCCCGGAGGCTCATCTGGCCTGTCCCCTTCTCTCCCTAAAACTTGATGTCTTGATGCATTGCTGTGGGCTGGGACACTGGCGGAGAGTGCAGTCCACCTATGTAAGTGGCAGCATCACCTGCAGGATCTATACGCACCCTTTTGATCGCATAGCAACAGTGGAGTCTTGCGGTGGGGTAGAGCGAAGGGACTACAGGGGGGTACAGCAGTTAATTCACTTATTCAGATGTGCATCCGTGCATCGTCTTTCATCTGCAGTACGTTTGCATGCTCAATTACACAAACAGTGAGTTTAAACTGCAGACTCTTGCACTTTATTCTCTTCGTTTATCCTCAGCCGGGCTTTGATCTATTATGATAAAAAAAAGAAAAGAATGTCATAATGTTTACTATGATAATTCAGATAGTTTTGTTTTCCAAAGTAGTCCTCTTGTAACAGACATTGGAAGATTTTTTTACTGGTGTAAAGAGTTTGCAACTGGAAGGTTGTGGGTGTGACTCCTGTTGCCTACTAATCTGAGTATTGGTTTATATATGTGAGTGTGAATGTGTTAATGTGGCTTCAGTGTAAAGCACTTTGAGTAGTTAATATGACTGGAAAAGAGCTTCGGGCCACCTACCATTTGTATTAGTCACACACAAATGAATTAAAGTACCTTGCAAGAGAGTAAAGAAGATTTATTTTGGATAAGCTGCAGTTGACTGATTAATGTTTACCTGTAAAGACACCAAAAACAGTCATTTAATCTACAAAAAAATAAAGTTTACACCAGATTTTTTTGTGTATTTTTAGTATTCTGGCAATGTTTTTACACTTGTGGGTGTACTTGACAAAAAACTTTAATGGATAGTATACACTTGTTGAGTCTATTTGATTACTGATTTCTAACCATATATTTTTCAGATCAAAAACAAAGGCTTCTAACTTTTTTATTTTTTTTATTTTTTTGCATTAAGCTTGTGCAAATTCTGACAAATCCTGTCGTCCGTATCATGGACACACTTAGTGACTCTACATGACTTTGACTTTGTGATGAAACAGAGTTGTAACGTTTTGTGTTATTAGCATGTCATAACCTGAGCTACGGAGAGTTTATAGATATTGGTAAATTGCGGCTCTTCAAAATCCTGAAGAGCCCCAAGTGTGATCTTCATTCACTTGGATAGTTGCCAAAGTATTTAAAGTCTATCAATCAATATGCTTTGATGAAGCATTTTTCACTGAAATCAAGTAAAATCAATACAGAAGTTTTTGAACCAGTTGAGATTCAAGTGGCTCAAGAGTAAGTAAAATAATATTGGCAGAAAATTGACAAGTGTGGGTTTACCAATCTGTTGATGACAGATTGACTCTGACTCTGATCCCTTTTCTACTTTTCCTCTCTAACTTTCTCCTCCAACTCATCTTTACTTACTGCACGAGTTTTGCATGTGCCTCCACTTCTTTTGGTAATTCCTGTTAATGCTGATATTATGATGTTTATTAGAGCTGCGCATTTTGTGATGGCGTCAACTGCAGAAAACCTTATCGTCGCCATATTTTCCCCCGCATGAAGCTGGCTTACTGTTGGCCCTCGGCACTCTCTCGACTGTCAGCTTAAAGCCTTGCAGATTACCGCGCGCTGTAACTGCTGCATAGCATGAGTGCCCACCTCAGCACCAAGCCAGAAAAAAAAAAGGAGCTTAGAAAATCAGGTCGAATAAAAGCAGCGTCGCAACAACAAATGATACCTGCTGCTCACATTTGATGAAGACTCATTGATGAATGTGTACGTAGGTGAGCATAGTTTGGTAAAGGCTGTTGAATATAAAAGCATCAATTGTTTCAAACAGAAAATCATATTTTATTGAATTGTGCTCTGCATTGTGTAGTAGTCTAAGCGAGAGCACTGTTACTGGAAACCCAACACAAAAGGTTGAGCTCAGTAAAGGTTAAACAGTTCAGATTTATTACCAATTTGTGCTACTTTATAATCCTTCAGAAATACTTATGTGCCAATATTTATGAGTCACACGTCACTCTATGCTTCCATTTGAGTCTCTACTGCTCATAGAAACAGTCAGAGAGCTTACAAAACTCCCCAACATTTTTTCTGGTAATAAGTTCATGTTTTTTGGTATCTGAAAAACCAGCTGTTAGAAAAACTTCCTTATAACTAAGTCACAGTCAGTGGACGCTGTTCCGTTACCTAGCCAGCCCAAGGTAACCCAGCCTGTTACATAGCAACCCAAGAGGAGCTCCAGCATGTTTGGTCAGCTTGTTTTACTGCTGTATGTGCTGTACAACGACTGCTAGAAAAGAGAAATTTTTTGTTGTTAAATTTCGCTTTTGTCATGATGTAGCGGTTGTAGAATGAACGCTGAGACCCAGATGATGGTGAATTTGACAAGTTTTTTTTTGTTTTGTTTTGTTTTTTTATGGGAGGAAACCCATAACTATGATGCTTAACAAGCCGATATAATTTTTTTACAAATGTGTCACAATTTAAAGGGAATAAAATAACAAAGCAAGATATATTGCCAGAGGAAAATTATTGCCCAGACATAAATGTTCTTCCTTTTTGTGCAAAGTTCGCTGCAGAGTTGCTCACATCATGTTTTGTCACTAACGCTCCAGAAAAGGCTCAATTTGAATGTGATTTTAAGTCTGGAAAAACAGGCGATCGTGTATAATTCCATTAATCTCTGACTCTACCAATCCTTCTCTTTCCCTGCCTGACCAATCAGAGGCTCATCGGCCAGATTACAATCACGGCACAAGATAACACAGGCAGGGACAGAAGCATGGAGGCTGAATAGGTTCATCCTCCCCCCTGTTGTTCTCTGTTTGACATAGTATGGAATGGAAACAAGACATTAGAGAGAAAACAATGTTTTTCTTTAATCTAAAGCTGGAGATCAGCACCCTGCCCTCCAACCTGCTGTGCTCTTTTCCAACTGGTTGATTTCACCTTACTCAGTTTCCCATCATCGCTCTTCCTCACTGTTCTTCTTCCTTCATCTCTTTCCCCCCAGATGTTAGGAGGGCAAAGTTGACTGTTTGCAGGTTGTTGTTTTTTTGTTTTGTTTTGTTTTTTTCTCATAACATTTTAAGCCGTGCTTCAGATAGACGTTTACCTTCATATTCTCACGGATGTTAGTCATTTAAGGGTGATCAGGTGACCATCAACAAGGAGGAAGAAGAGGATGATTCAGGCAGAAGACGGAGGGAACTTTATGCAAGTTCTATTTCTGCCTCTGACAGCTACTTCTGGAGCTCGTCTTTGTTTCTCTTTGGCTCCCACTCTTCCTCCTCTTCCTCCTCCTCCTCCTTGCAGAACGTTTCACTGGGTCTGATGGGCAGCCGAGGCTTCAGGCAGATGTAAATCTGGGGAGGTTTGTTGGCAAAGGGGGCAGACAGTGGAGGATGGAGGATGTTGCCACAGCTGCTAAATGCAGTCTGGGCGTCTTTGCATGTGACTGAGTCTGTCGGGAGTCGGGTTCTCTGCCTTTCCACCTGCGGGCCATGTCCAAATTGCTGAAGGCAAAGAACGTCTCCTGGGTGAGTATTGGCTCCTTATCTGGTAGGATGTGGGGAGGAGTGAAACGAGGACAGAGGGGGAGAGTTGTTACTGGATTTAAAAGACTTGTTCTTGCTGTTAGTGTTATCTGGTCAAAAGAGGTTTATTACAGTTTTTACAAAGAGATTATTTTTCTACCCACATACTAATTTGTAATTTACCATTTTGGAAGGTATTTCTTTGCGCGTCAGCAGTTTTGTGTGGAACAGTTGTGCAGCCAAAGATGATTAAAAGGGATAGTTCCGATTTTTTTTCACCATATAGTCTGGGAAAAAAAGGACTGCAAGTTGTTGACATTTTAGCTGCAGTAGATGACAGCAGAGAGGGCGAAAAGCGGACTTTTACTGTCTTAAGACAAATTCAGTCTCAACAACACAGTTTTTCACGTCCATATTATTGCAGGTTATTTTCAAAAGATTTTTTGTCAAACAAACGCCACACAAATCCTGCTGCTTTTAGTTTTTCTAGTTGAGTAATAAAAATGAACTTTTTTCCCCTTTTATTAAAATAAAAGGGGAAAAAACTGACCAAACTAAACTGGCTGAGTACAAAGTACTTAAGATATAATAACTCTTGGTAGAACCTGTCAGCAGGTGTTTGCATTAACTGAGAAATTAGTCTCTAAGATCAGAGTGAAAGAAATGGGCCCTACTCATTGCAGATTTTTGTTTAATTTGGCCACAATTGGATTTTTTTCAAGCCTAAATGGCCTGTTGACCTGTGGCCACAGCCTCTTCATCAGATTTATGTCCAGACATTGACTAGGCCATTCCAAAGCATTTTCAGCCATTTAGATGTGGACTTGCAAGTCTGCTTTATATATATTTCTGATGCATGACCCAAGCACTTGAGCATAAACATGGATAAGTTATTATCAGTGACAGTTACCTTACCCGAAGAGGGCAGATTTCATAATAGACCGCTTTCCAGAAAGTACATATGTACTGAGAATGCCAGATGCTGTACCACTCTGCCTCATCAGCAGATTCGACAGAACAGCTGTTAGTGAGTTTGAAGTCTGAAGACAAGTTTTGGAACGAAGACAAAACCTGGAAAGCACAGAAACACATCATCTGTATGTCTGTCAGCAGATACAAAAGCCGATACAAAAGCGTTCTCTGCTATTGGTGGAGCTACAGTTGATAGATAAGTTGTAGCAAATGATGCCGATGGGCACGGCCCAGATGAATCGGTGGATGTGGCTCCTCTTGTTCAGCTGAAACAATTGTTAGAGTTCTAATATCTGCTGACACAATCTTGTATCCCAATAATGAGAACATTTTCAGTGTGTGTTCCTTTGATGAGCTAAAGTCAGCTGAAACAGATGGTGATCAACCAACTAGCTATTAACTTTCCTCTGCTCCGAGGATCCCACCCTCCTACCAAGGCAAACAGAAACTACAGCTGCATTAGAGACCCAGATTGTGGAAGACAATTATTCATCTCAAATCGGGGAAAATGGGTGTAACTTAATTGCCACAGTTTAAAATGGCAAACTAAGCACAGCATTTTGGCTTCATGGAGACAGGGTTCTGTTTTTAGACTTAGTGAGCTGTATGGACAAAGTGGAGGACTGAGTGAGAGGTTAGGATCTGGAGCTTTGCCGGTAATTGTGCGTGCCATCCATTTCGGGCCCAGCAGCCCAATCATGCATTTCTGGCCTCAAATAACAACACACACTCACATGCAAGCGCACTGATTGTAAGAGGCTTAGTGACGGAGGCTTGTTTATGAATGTGTGAGCGGACATGTGCATATGGACACGTGTGATAGAGTGGATAAGCCAGGGGATGACAGTAGTGGGCTCTGAGGAGATGTATGAGTTTCAGAAATTTAATGAATGTTGCACATTTTATGAGGGTATTAAACTCTTTCAGGTGAATTGGAAGAATATGTTATCAGAGATAAGGGAGTGGAAGGAATATTCAGTTTCTCTTGCCTTTTTATTTTCCTTATAAATGAGTAGCGTTTTTAAAGATTATAAAGTAATTTGTCTAGAAAAAAATACCAACATTTACTTGGTAAAAACTTGGAAACTTTATCTGAGCTATTTTTATGAGGATGCTCTTCTGAACACAAATCCTGGACATTGTTTGCCTTTTGCTCATTTTTCTTCATATTTTACTGCACAGGCTACACAGCATGCTTTGGTGGTCAGGTACATATGTGGAATTGAAACTGAAGCAGCCAAAGCCAAAAGAAAATCCCCCAAAAGCCTCCTGAACATAACAACTGTATGAGTGTATAAAAATGTAGTAAAGAGATAATTGGGATTGATTTAAAATATTTTAACAGTAGAACTGGTGTGAAATAGACCAGAAATGTGTTATTAAATGTTTTTTTTTTTTAAATCATTGAATTCTAGCAAACTATTTGTACAAACTTGTCAAAGCAGTCACTGTGGGGAAAAACGCATTAGAATCAGCCCACATACAACAGTCTCTGTCTTGTGTGTTTTGGCTGCTTATTGATATTACTATCTCCAAAATCTATTTTTACAACTAGATTTGGCAGCTATAACTGCTCTGGCACTGGCTTGCCCAGTCAAAGCTGAAATACAACTGACTCTAAACCAGCCTGGATTGATGGGAGTTTCTTTTTCATAGTGTATATAAAACCTTATTTGTCACCTTAAGACAAAAGAATTATACACAAGGAAATATAATTCTCTTGAATGCAAAATTCAAAGCAGCGTGTTTATTTATATAAAGTGGTAATGAAGTGCTCGGAAAAAAGGAAATGCAAAACTCACCTATTAGCTCCAGCTCTGTAAGACTGGCTTAAGAGCGCCAGTATGAATTGATTTTCATGCATTACTGCAGATTTTAGGTGTGGATTCTGAATTTGCAACTAAAACACATATGAATGATTTGATCTAAACTAGATCTTTGAAGCTCTTTGCAGAATACCCACATTTATTCTGAAATAATTATATTCCTTTAGGATGTTGTTTTGAGAACATCATTGTGGAACTCTAAAACAAATGCATACCATACTCGTAGTGTACTTTGCAAAGGTTTTAAAGATTATTCTCTTTACAGTTAAATTTAACTTTGGGTCCATCATAAAATGAACAGAAAACACATTTAGGTATGTGGCTGTAAAATGGCAGACTGTGAAACGGCTTAGGGGGAGCTGCTCTGTTTTATGGGTGTGATTCTGTTTGTTTTGGTATCAATATTTAGAAGAGGAGGAGTTTTGAAGGCCAAGGAGAAGATAATGACAGGATTAGAAACCAGACTACCAAGGACAGACAGGAGGCCCCAAGAAATATAAGAGCATCTGGTTCAGGGCCTTCTTAACATTAATATAAATGATTCCTGCTGGCTAATAAAATTAACAGAAGTAGGTTTTTTTTTTTTTTTTTTTTTTTAAGAGAGGGGAGATCTGAAATTGTCAAATTGCTATAAAAACTGTGGCAAAGATTTGGATTCAGATCACATACACTGCCTGTGTCTGTGACTACAGAGATTTTGTACTTTAGTACTTTAGGCACACATTTGTGTCTGACCCGGAGGTCACAGGCTTGGGCCAAGCTGACAACAGACAGAGCTTTCTTTTCCATTTTCAATTATGTAACGTCTCATCTGTGTCTCTCCCGGAGGACTTTAGTACCCCACTGCATCGCCCATCTGCTGATGTACCCTGCACAGTTGTGGATAGGAACCAGCTGCAGTGACCAATGGGTCTTGCTGCATCACCTACTTTAGAAGAGTGGTGAATGTAGCAGCCAAAACATTTGATTTAGAAAAGTGAAAGTGAAGAAACAAATGAATAACATGTAACACAACACTTACATACAGTCTATTAGGGTTTTAATTACTATCTTTAAAAAAACAACAACAACAATAAAAACTAGATTAGGACGGCATAAGTACTAAGAACCAAATTGAATGCTCTGAATACAGATTCTTTAAAGCAAAACACACTTTCGGTAACACTTTATTTGAAGGGGGTGAATAAGACTGACATGACACTGTTATAAAAACCTGTCATGAACATGAATAAGCCTTCATGAATATTTATGACTGTTGTCATAAAGCGTCATTCGGTAAATTATGACACTTTTAATACAAAGTTAACATTATTCAAAATGCCGTTGTTATGACAACTTGACATTAACCAAGAAATCATTACTGATGTAAATTTTTTATAAAAGTATTACTGATTGCACTTTAGAAATGAGGTAACTTTATGTTATTAAAGGTAAAGTTTAAGCATGTTTATTACAGTGTTATGACAGTCTTATTCACCCCCCTTCAAATAAAGTGTTACCAAACTTTGTTTTATTAAATTAGAAAAGGCACAAGGAAGATTTTTTTGAATAATCTCTAAAACACGGAAACAATTTATTTCGTGCTTGTATCTATAATGTAAATTAGATTATTTCATATTTAAGCATGAACTTAATTACTCATTTACATTATAATTTGAGGCTCTTTTGGCTCTTGCAGGGGTCTAGCCCAGTGCGCCACTCATGCGAGAACCGCCACCGGTAGTCCTTCTCCCAGGCTTCTGCAGCGATGTCCCGCCATATGCAGTCCACGCAGTGAAGGGATAACCTCATGATATAACAATCATTCTGGGTGTGTGTGTGTGTGTGGGTGTGTGTGTGTGTGTGTGTGTGCAGCTGAACACAGTGTTAGTGGTGAGAAAATCTCATGATTACTCCTTCCGGATGAGGAATGCTGGGTTTGTCTGTTGTCCTGAGCTGTAAACAGGGCGCACAAAGGCATTTTCTATTGCCTGATTTTTAATTCCATCTCTCTCCCCTGGAGCCGGGCCAAAAATATTCTCATTTGTGCAGCCAGACCCCAGGAAGTCGCACGGGATGCACAAACACATTCATCAAGCGTCACACTAGCCGAGGATGAAATCTGCAGCACAAACGAGACGTTTCTCACCTTGAAATATTTCTGGATTTATGGAGCGCACGCACGGGCAGGTTGGGACAACAACTTTGACGTGGTCGGGAGCCTGAGGTCAGAGTGAGCGGTGTGCGGCGCAACAGATGCCACACTGAGAAATAAGCCTTTAATACCCAGAGGACTCTGGAAAGGGTAACTACCCTCAACTCAACACGGTGCAGCTTCCAAACTCTTCTCCAGTGCCGTCCTGCGCGTCGCGATTCGTTTTGGGAAATTTTACGCTCAAAACAGCGCGTAAAGAGCGGACTTTTCTTTGCGCAGAGATCGATCCGTTGTGACACATTAAGCGGAAGTAAGCGCGTTCTCATGGCATGCTTTATGTATCACTCACTGGAGCCAGGTGAACGGTGAAGTCAGCTCGTTAGGATAACGCAGGTGGACACTTTTAACCAACGATGCCGCCCAAAAAGAAGGTAAAATTCCCAGGATTCTCTTGATTTGCTTCCTCTTTTTTTTCTTTTCTTTTACCTGTATCTGCATGGGTGTATCTGTGAGTGTGTGCTGAACAGGAAGCGTAAAAAAAAAAGACACCATCTGTTGCACTGGGCGTTAATCCCGTCTGCGAGGCCTTTCCATATCATTGCACCCACTATAACAGCCACAGCGCTGCAGGGGCAGAGAGTTGCGTTTCCACATGCTTGTACCATGCCATGTGTCCTGCTGAATGACAGGCTTCAGAGAGTTGCATAACTAATAGTCTGAGGATCAGAGGGATTAAATCTCTTTCCTTGATTTTTCTCTCTCATAATGTGGGAATTGCCAGTGGCTGACTGAATTCCCATTTGCTTCAGCATTGAAGCAGCAGCAAATGGATTCAGGAACAACTGGGGAATAGGGACTGCACAGAGTTAAACTGATCAAACTTTGCTGAAAGGAAAGTTTTGATAAGTTCTGGCTTGAAGCTGTAACAGTATCTGTTTATTTTTTATTCTGACAACTTTCTCTATAAAGACAAACTAATTTACTTAATACACATCAATATACACCACTCCATACTTTATTGTAATTGATCTGGCTTTTCTGCAATTGACCAACACAAAGTAGTTCATAATTACATAGTGGAAGAACAATATTTTATGTTTTTTTTTTTTTTTTGCTTATTTATTTATTTATTACAAATAATTTAAGAAGCAGTTTATTTTTCTACTTAGTCACATTTCCTGTAATAGGCCTAAATGAAATGCAGCTCAACCAATTGGCTTCAGAATCATAGTGAGTCCAAAAAAAACTGTCTCTAGAGGTTTCTACATTATAAAATAAATTGCATTATGAAGACCAAAAAAAAAAAAAGTCTGATCTAGTTCTGAAGTTCTGAAAAAACTGACAAGGAGAGTAATTTTTTATTTACCAGCCAAGAAGCTGGTTGCACTGGAGGAGCTATAGAGATCCACTGTATGGAGGTTTAACTTGCAGAAGTAAAACAACCCTGAACATTCACCCAGAGCTGCAACGAAATGACTCAGATCAAAACTTACGCTTTAGAATGGTCCAGTCAAACTCCAGGCATAAATCCAGTTGAGCATCTGTATCAAGACTTTAAAACTGATGTTCAGAGATGCTCTTTATCCAATATGGCATAGCTTAGGCATTTTTGATAAGAGAGTGGGCAACAATTTCACCTCTAAATGTGCAAAATTGGTAGAGACAAAATATCTGCACATGTAATTGGAGGGAAAGGTTGTCCTACAAATTATTGACTCAAGTGAACCTAGTGCTAACACAACTATTTTCAGATATGTATTTGTAAGGCAAATCCAAATCTGAAGTGTAGTCATGGTGTGTCCACTGTATGTCACTAACTTTATCCAATTTATGTATTTATATTTTACCAAACTCAAAACATTGAATATTGCAGAACCTGCAGTCTGTTGATGCAGGAGACAGGAAAGCATAAATGCATTCGGTGAACCGGCAAATAACAAAACAGGAATTTTTCATTTGATTTATTTACTCAGTAAGTTAATTATGAGCTTACTGTCCACTGAACCCAGCCCAAACATTTTTTTTCAA